CAGCTTGCAAATTGAAACATAAGTTGATATACTCCCGAAACCCATATGCGCACACAGATGTATTTACATGCCTGCATATTTAATGCATGCATGTGGACATACATTCATATCTACATATATCCACACGTACATATGTATGTATACACATACGTGTTTTCATACTTACAGTCTTTGCATGTGTGAATGTAGATATTTAGTATGTGTGTGTGTGTCTTGTTATTGCAGTCCTCTTCGTATCTACAACATACCGCGTGTGTAGCAGGAACCGCCTCCGGCTGCAAAGCCTTGCTCCGCGAAATCCGCCTGTCCATCGCACTCTCCTCAATGCGGATCCGCTCCTGCGCGCAGTCATGTCGAAGTTGCATGCACTCATGCTGGGATCCACTCCTCACCCAGGGACAATGCCGAGGCGGCCCTCGTCGGGCCTGCCGGAGCACCCTCCTGGCACCGTTTGTGATCTAAGATCAAGCACAAAGAATGCAACCGGTGCCAAATGCACTCCTCATCCGAGGAGGTATCAAACCCAGGATCCTCCTGCAACACATGTACACTTTTGTGAACGAAATGTAGAACATGCCACTCATACACTCCTTCTTGGAACACGTGGACGGCAGCCGAACGACAGGCCACTTGTCCTGCATTGTATGCGCAAACATATGATAAAGACATGGACTGCCACTCTACCACTGGAACTCAGACTGAAGGTGCATGCGCTCCGGATCCATGGACGGGCTCCGAGTCTTCCGCTGTCGCTCCTCCTGGATTTTCCACTGCATTATATGTGCAACTATGTGATCCAAAAAAGACAATTGCCACCGACTGCCTCGCCTCTTCGTCTGCTTCGGCTGCCTCGTACGATGCTTGGAGCAGCTCCTCTACGTCCTGTTGGCTGAATGTGTATTCATCACACTTAACACATGAACACAAAACTGCGCTCAAGCATCCTTCACGGGATCCTCTGGGTCGCCGCGACCAAACACTTCATCGAAGTCATCCTCGTCCGAACTGTCCTGAATGTGTGTATTTATCACACGTAGCACATGAACACAACATGCAAACGAGAGAACACAGGACTGCACTCAAGCATCCTTCTTCGCAGGAGGCTCTGGGTCACTGTGACCAAACACTTCATCGAAGTCATCCACGTCCGAACAGTCCTCGGAATGCGTAAATGTGTCTTCATCACATGTAACACATGTACAGAATATGCAAACGAGTGAACACAAGACTGCACTCAAGCATCATTCTTCACAGGAGGCTCTGCGTCACTGTGACCGAAGACATCATCGAAGTCATCCTCAGAGCTTACACATACAAATTCTTTGAGTCCCGTGTTGTCGTAAGCAGCAATATTAACACATGCAATCTAGTGGCTGAGTCGGGGAGCGGGTCATTCTCGCCCGCACTGAACCGTACCGTCGCCTCAACTCTCGTAACCGTCGGGGTTTATGCGGTTATTTAGGGTTTGGGCATTGAGCGGTTCAAGGTATACAGGGTTATATTTGGGAGTCTGGAAGTTATATTTATTTACGAAACACGGCTTAGGGCGCACATAGGGTTTGGGGGGTTTAAGTTTTATGTAGGCTCGCAGGTATCAAAAGTTTCTTGATTTGGTGCAGTGGCCCCCTTAATTCGAAGTTAGTTCATTACGGTTGCCTAAGTCTGTGCTAGGTTTGGGGCTTAGACTCTGGTGGCAACTGGAGAATATACAGGGTAGATCCTCGAGTCTGTAGGGTTTAGTTTTGAGAATAGGGTATGGGTGTTTAGCGGAGTTTAAGATTTACGTACTGTTTTCAACTGTTGAACCACTCAAACATGCCATCAAAATTTGTTACTGAAAAGTAACCCTGTCGCCTGGGATCGCACATCCTCCTCGCTGGAGCTGGACCCGTCGCCTGAAGGCCGTGGCACATCCTCCGGGCCGGCAAAGGCATCCTCGGCACGTTCATCCTCCGATTCCGAGCCTTCACCCACAGTCGCCTTCTCATCTTCATCGCCCCAAAACTTTCCAGAGCAATCTGGCTCGCCTGACGACTCCTCCTCTCCGTCTGCGGTAGGCTCCGGCTGTGGTTCGGCTGCCTGCTTTCTGGCTCTCGAACTGTTGACTCTCATGAAATTCTTGAGGGTCTGCAGCTGCGAGTCCCGGGAGTACGGGGAGCTGGACCACAGCCTAGGCTCGATCGCAAACCGCTACATGCACCTGCAACCTAGGATTGATCATGAGTGCTGCAAACCTGATGATGCCTGCATGCATATAGGATGCTTTCGCAAAGTCGACCATACCTTCTGCATCTTCAGGACTCCGATCTTCATCGCAACATCCGTCCAAGCAGATCCAATCGAGGCTTTCTCCACGAAAGCCTCCAAGATGGTGGTGGCCTCTTCCATGCTGGGTGGACGGACCTGGAACGGAGGGTAGCGGAGCACATTGATAAAGATCCAAAAATTGGATGTCCTCAGTTGCAAGAATGAATGCATGCATGCATGCCACCTATATCTAAAGCGCTATGCGTGCATTGGTTCCTTGCAATCGTGGCACACATCATCTGCAGACATATCTTCGTAGTTGCCTGCAACGATGTCTGTGAGCGGATCGCCACGAGCTGCCGTGGCCTCCATCCGCTCCTGCGCATGCATGTTTAGCTGCAGCGGTGTGCACTGCAAAACAATGACTGCATGCAATCTGATCGATCCTTGACAGCTGCCGGCTGCGACATTTGCATCACCATCCCGATGGCTCGCAGTTCAATCACTGCTCGCTCTGCATCGGTGTTCGCCATGGCACCGAAAAAACTTCAAAGCACGAACCGAAAATAGCTGGTCAGAAATACTGTCACACTGCCTTGTTCGAAAGAGAGGAGCACAAACTGCCAAACTCGAACTTTACGAAGTAACCTGACAACACTGCCTCGATCTGCCAAGCGCGCATGCATCTTCGACATCGGACTCATCAATGCAAGCCGAGTTTCCCCTCCCGAACGACGGGGACGCTTTCGTCCCCCTCGATAGAAGCAGGGGATCTGCCGGTGGTGCCCCTGATCAATGCATGCATGCACCGCACAGAACGAATGCCTTGTCACAAGATCTGTGGGACTCTGCATCTGCCACGCAGCCTCGATATCCAGACCCAGCTGGAGCACACCGGCGCAAACCACGCTAATCCTCCCTGCATGCACACAGATTCGAAGCCGCAATGAGCACATGTATCTCAACTGCCATAAATCCATCCAAATGCTGCAAAGCCGCACGACTGTACAATCGAAGGCAAAGCGAGATGCACAAGGCAAAACCCAGGCCGCTGAGGAAATCTTGCTCGGGTCCATCCGATATCTCAAAGGTCGCGGCATCATAGCCATGTTGCCTTAGATATATCAAAGGATCTGTGCATTCATAAGCCGCACACATTCATTCAACTGTCAAGTCAGTTTCGATGCCTAAAGCCGTTGGCCACAGTCTTGACACCGGCAAAAACTTCCAAGCAGTCCAGCTCCTGGGTAAAGCAAACGAACTGTCTAGAATTTATGTGCGGTCTACATACTTTGCAGCACAGAGCTGTAAGGTTCTGATCCCAGAGGCCACATGGGGCAGGGTCATGTTTCCCATGACAAGGGTGAGCAGGGAGAGCAGGCTGTGAGGCATGCCAGCGTTTATCAGGAGGTGCAACCTGGAGCACGTCCAAGGAAAGGAGGACACTGCAAGCTCTCATTATGCAACTCGAAGCTGTATGCCGTCAGGGAGCAGACTCCTGAAACGCGCTGGCAGGCAACCCGTCTCGAAAAGAGCCAGAGGTCGCTCCGGCTCCGGTTCCGGAGCCTCACGTCGTCGCTTCCCATGTTTCCTCCGAATTTCGAACCCTTGCACCTGCATCTTGGGCATCTTGGGGAAAACTTGTGGCTTGAGCAAGAGCCTTGTCGGTTGCAGTCACAATCGATCTGAAGCCAGCACATATTCTGCAGAAGAATCGCACACTGCACACAGCTTCACATGAGCACATGAAACACTTGCAGGGGCGAGTTGGTGGCACCTCTCTTCCATGTGCTGAAGCATGGCCATTCGAGCAGCCATCTTTGACGGCTGCTGACCCGCGGGTCTGCAGCAGGTTGCTCCCACCAAGACATTGGGCCGGGCATGCACTTTCACAAGTGAGGAAGCTACAGTACTGAACTCGTGTCAACGATGCCTTGGGGAAAAACATCCATGCATCTATACTCTATACTGACTGGAACTCATGGGCACTGAGGCAGAAGCATCTTGAGTGTCTCTGCCCTAAATTTAAGCCGACATGCAGCTCCCATGCCAAGTGCCAGCATATTGCTTTGATGGAAAGCATGCCAGACGACATGCAGATCTCGGCGAGTCCTGGCTTAGAGGAGGAGGTTGTGGGTCGTTTCCTCATATATTGGTTCGTATGATTATCGGCTACCAGGTTTCGAAGGATTAGGGCTTAGGGTGCCGGGTTCATGGGTCCTAGATATGGGAGTCTAGGACCCATGAATCCAGCTTTTTTTTTTACACTCACAGGTCGCCGAACACATGTCCAAACTTCCGGGACATGCGAAACAAAAGCAAAGCAAGCCGTGCACAACCGGGGAAACCGTAAATTATCGGGTCAACTTTGGATTGAATCCTGCTCGACCTTTGGCAGAGACTGCATCGTCTTCCATCCAACAGCACACCTGCTGCACCAACACCATCCCGGCAGTGGCTTTTGCCGTTGAACTTGAATCGAATTGAACCCTAAAGGTCGTACAAAATGGAGAAACGACCGACGTACTAATAACCCCGCGCGAAGGACTTACGCTGCATGTTGGGGCCCGCGAGGATCATGGTTGTGCGCGAGAATGCTCCAAGCGCGCGAGAGACGTAAAATTAAGCGTTCGGGCTGAGCAGGTTCTCATGAAACTCAGACAATCAATTCAGGATGGTGTTAAAGCTGTTAATATGCAAGATGTTTGCATTTCCGCCTTTCATACAGTCACTGCACGAAGATCTGACCTGGCTCAGTTGTGCATGTCACGGGCTGCTTGCTCATCAGGATCGTCATCGCAAGCCGTTGCCGGAGGTTCCATCGTCGAGGATGCCATGCCCCCCGCAATGTGGGTGGGTGTCTCCAAATTCTCCCCGATCTCGGAGGTCATGGAAGTCTTGCTGGTGAGGCGACGCTTTGGAGGAGGATATTGGAACTGGCCCATTCGCCCAGGAGGATTGACGCAAGCCACGGGCAGAGCTTCTGGGAAAGGAACTGGGACTGCGGTCTCCTCGTCGGTGGATGGCGAAGCAGGAAGATGCACTGCAGTGGATGCGCGAGTCAAAGAGCCGATCTTGTCCGCAATCTTTTGATTGATTTCGGCCATGTAAGTTTCTGGACGACCGGCCGTCTGCATAGACTCTATGCCCTGAAGCAGGAGTTCCTGCTCCTTGGCAATGTCTGCCTCGAATGTAGGAGGCGGCTCATGGATGCCAACTTTGTACTTGGCGTAGAAGTCCTTGTCTCGCGGTGTGAACAGATCTTCGTGCAGGTCATCTACTCGAATTCAGTGGATAAGGGCGTTGCGATCCTGGGAAGGCAGACGAAGATAGGTTGCACGCTTGCCGAAGATGAACATGATGCAACGTTTCAAAACAGCCATCATGTCGGCCTCCTTGTAGCCTACGAAGAATTTCTTGACGAGATTGAAGAACTCTTTTGGCTCCATGGAGGTATGGTGTTTGTCCGGGAGTGGTTCGTCTTCAGGTACAAAGTCGTTTGCAGCTAAGGCCCGAAGGCCGTTGGCGACGAGCTTCACATCCGTGTACCGACCCGAACAGTTCTGATCTTCTTCAGAAGTTAGCCACGATTTGACATCCGCGGGCTCCATTTTGTCCATGTTGAGATCATCTAGTATCAAGCCCTCGTGGATCTGTGCATTGCGATGCCTGAAGTTATCCATGGCCTTGGCCCTCCTCCACCCAGGAGAAACTCCCTCGAGTTCCAGGCGATTGATGTGATACCTGCCGATGGCCAGAGCGAGAATGATGAGCAGAGGAGTCTTCCCAACTCCCGGCCATCCGATGGTCACAATTCCGAAGCTAGTCCGTAAGGGTGCAAACAAGGGGAAAACTCTCCCATGAATGGCTTCATACTCTTGGTGGTCATTGGGAAGAAGCGGCGCGAAGATGCTCCTACATTCGCACGACTTTTATCCTGAGCAATCCGGATGATCTTGCCCTCCGGCCAGCCCGCAATTGGCGAGCCACTGTCCGCCTTGATGTTCGTCAAGATCCACAGGTATTGCTGGTTCTCCGAATCGTCTTCTGGGGCATTCTTGTTCACGAAGTCAACGCCTTTGACAAGCTCGTCATCGGAAGCGGTCCATGCTGTGGATTGGGCACGCTTGAGTTCCTTTTCACAAAGAGTCCACCAAACGACATGATGTCCCGGAAGACGGCCAAGGAGAGCATGGACTGCCTTCTTCCAGCTCCACGGTCCCTCGCGGTAAGCGAAGAACAATGGAAGCCCGGTGCAGAAGCCCTTTGCTTCCTTCGCAGCAACCTTGGCCGTGAACCTGATGATCCGCAGAACGTCCATGGTCCCGTCCTGCAGATTGTGAATGATGTAAGAGACGGTAGCTCCGTGTGGCAAAGACGTCGACGGCTGTAGTCTAGGCGGTAGAGCTGAATAGTCCTGATTTGACAGACGTTCACATACTGAAAGCAAGTTCCCAAACTCAGCGATCTGGTAGTGTGCATCCAATACAAGCACGCATGTCTTTGGAAGGTCACGACGACAAGCATGCTTCTCAAGATCTGACAGCCGAATGCACTCGGAGATGTCCGCCTGGCTATTGTTGACATAGACTGGCGTCGAGTGCTCTTGAATGGTCCACTCCTTTGCGGCGTACTTGGCCATGGCATCATCTAACAGCCTGTTATGCGGCGACGCCATGTTGCAGCGCAAGAAATCGCGAGGAGCTAACACCACTACTGTCTCGGCTTAAGGGCACTAGACGCAAGACAGATTCAAGAAAGTTTGCAATCGTTTGCAACATGATGTGTCCCACGGAGCATTCAAATGTGCATGATTGCAGGCGCTTTTCGCGGATGCGCCGTGCGACATGCCTTATCCATCATGGGCCCCCAATGCATCATTAGCAATGTACAGGTCGCGGCTGACTTCCTCCAAGTCCGCTTCGAGCACAACGATACGGCGACGCAATTCTTTTTTCGGTGTAGAAGAAGACGATGAGGATGACGATGACGATGTAGAACTATCGCTGCTGTCCTGGTTCATAGCATTGCCGGCGCATTGTTCCATGTTACCGTTCTCGCTCGTGTTCGGGTTGGTGTCCATCGAAACCTTGTTGTCGTCCTCGTGGATGTTCTGCTTCATCAGGTTGGCGGCGTCGTTGGCGATGTTCTCGGTGTCCCGGGGGATGTTCTGCTTCATCAGGTTGGCGGCGTCATTGGCGATGTTCTCGGTGTCCCGGGGGATGTTCGGCTGCATGAGCTTGGCGGCGTCCT